AAAAAAAAAGATATTCAGAAACCAGTAAAAAAAAAAGAGTATAGCTTGTCATACTGCAGGACAATTGTTAAACAAAATCCATTCAAATTAATTTAATAGATTAAGTAATTTCCAGTGTTACTGATGTAGCTAACATTCACATTTCTGTTGTTTTAGTAAAAAATGCAAGTATATCATTGGCAAGACTTCCAGATTCAATGAATCAGGACCACTATGATGTATGGCCAAGTTCTCCACCATCAAGGCAGGGAGGAAGATCTTGTTAACCTCAACATTGGAGGCATCCAGCACAAGGTGGAGCGCTGCGTTCTGCTCCGGTTCCCCAACACGCGTGTGGGTCAGTTAATCCAGTGCTGCAGCGATGCCGCCATCTTGGAACTCTGTGATGACTACAGCCCTGCTGAGCAGGAATACTACTTCGACAGAAGCCCGCAAGTCTTCCACTGTGTTCTGAACTTCTACCGTACAGGACACTTTCATGCTCTGGAGGAGCTGTGTGTGTTTTGCTTCAGTCAGGAGATCGAATACTGGGGCATTGGTGAACTGGATCTGGAGGCCTGCTGTCTCGATTGGTTCCTTGAGCGCAAACATGACCGGGAGCAGAACGCGTGTGGCATGTCAAGTAATGCCACATCGTCTGGAGAAATCTCCGTTGTGGGGAGTGACCTGTGGAGGTTTGAGGGCACGTGGTGTTCAGATGTTCGCAAGTTCATGTGGCAAACTCTTGAAGATCCCAATCACTCCAAGTGTTCCAAAGGTGTAGCTGTGCTTTCAGTCCTGGTCATTTTTACCTCCATTGTGGCCATGTGTATTCACAGTATGCCTGAATTCAGGTATGCAACTGACAGTGAACATTCTGTTCTGGACTCTCTGGAGCTCATCTGTAACATTTTCTTCTCAGTGGAATTTGTTCTGCGAGTTGTAGCAGCACCTCGCCCATGGACGTTTTTGGGAAACCCTCTGAACATGATTGACATGGCTTCTGTCTTGCCTTTCTATGTGACGCTGGCCTTTGAAGGTTTGGACGAAGGGGATGGGGAGGAAAACCAAAGTCTTGTCAACATGGGGAAGGTGGTTCAGGTTCTCCGGTTAATGAGGGCCTTCAGGGTCCTAAAGCTTGCTCGACATTCAGAAGGGGTGAGAGCTTTTGGAGAAACTCTAAAGAATTGCCAATCCGAGGTGGGTTTGCTCATTCTTTTCATTACTGTTGGAATATCGTTCTTCTCGACTTTTATCTACTACACTGAAAAGGAAGACGCTTCGTCCAAACTCTCTTCTATTCCTGTTTGTTGGTGGTGGGCCATTATTTCAATGACTACGGTGGGCTATGGGGATGTATATCCACAGACAGCAGCTGGGCGGATTGTAGCTACACTTTGCATTCTCTGTGGGTTGCTTGTGGTGTCTTTACCCATCACCATCATCATGAACAACTTTTCTAAGTACTTTGAGAAAAATACAGCTAAGAGGTGCCTTTCAGTAGCTAAAACATAGGAAAATGTCAACCATTTCCCTGTTTAAAATGTTGTCCTTTTGACATTCTTTGCATTGATAAAAAAATAAAGACATCCAACTTCTTGGTGTTTAATACTTCATAATTTTTTTTAAACAACAATGTCTGATGTTTGGAAGAAGTAAATGAAGAATATCAACCAACATTTCATAGTCAAGTCAAATTGCATATTTAGAACAAATGAAAACGAGCAGCACAGAATTCTTTCTTTTCTTCAAAAAAAGTTTAATAGTAGTTCTATGTACAACAAATGATCATACTTAATATTCAAAGAGGCAGATTGATCAAATCTGAAATTAGGCAAAATACTGAAGCAAAACTAAAGCAGAGAAGGACCAAACCCTTCATAAAATCCTAATCTGCAAAAAACCCAACATTTCATATTTAGATCTATGAATATGACTCAATAAATTATAAATAAAAAAGTTTATT